CTTTGCGGGGGCTAAGTCCCAAGCATGTGGCCGACGTGGCTTCGGGACTGCATCTTCTGAAGGCCCGTAGTGGCCAGTAACTTTGCCGTAGAAGTCGTGCGAACATTCGCAGGACTCGACGCATCGGATTTCCTCCCAGTTATCCTTACACGCCTTCTCGGAAGGCGGCGGGAAACAGTTCAACGTACTCCGGCACTGCACCTCTCGACGGCATGCATTTCTCATCTGGTCCGACCTCGGCATTTTGTCCGGCCAAGCCCATAGCATCGTGGCGCTAAGGGGTATCTTGTTCAACTTCGGCTATGTCGTTAAGACGGTCATAGACCACAAACTTTACTGGACGGCAACACCGTCACTACTTGCTCGAACGCCTTCGGCAGAGTTAAAATAATGGTGATGGAAGTCGTCGGCATGTCATCACTATCCATGTGGCTGAGTTGCTTTTTCCTTGCGAGTGCTTGTTTGTAATATGCCGATAAATTTGTACTCCTCTTGGGTAAGCTTTCTGGGTGCTGCAGCGTTGACCGTCCTTCTCGCGGACTGCCGTTGCAAATCGTGGCAGGACCACCGATGAGCCGAAATGGCACAACTCAGCCCGATAAGTGACAGATGAGTAGACTGCTTTTTTATTAGCTAACGCACTTGCTGCGCCAATCCGGCAATCTGCGCTTGAAGGTCCCCAGTGCGCTTGCACTCCTCGTCCATGAGGATCATGGCTCCCATTTCCTATCCATGGATTCCGTCTACTCTGGAACAGAAAAAGAATTAGCCTTTTCTGTTACCAGTCAATAGAGCAGGGTTTCAGGCAGCTTCCTGCTTCGCTCAATAGCTTCTTTCCATCAACTTCCATCCGCGGTGGTGTGCAGGTACTCCCTCGTACAGAGGTTCTCGTACCTGATTGTGCCTATCGCTGTTCCACAGACAGCTGCGGATCCAACCGGCACTTCACCCCACGGTGATTTCCAGATATCATTTCGATCACAAGCTCTTGTACACCTTTGTGCTCAACGGCCTTCCACAGATGATTTGTGGAGACAAGCACAATGTCTGCCCCAGCAGTCTACGCCACAAAGT